ATTATAAATAATAAAAAAGAAATCATTAAAGAAAAGTTAATCGCCAACTTCAAATCAAAGTTTCAGATCTTTAAATGTTCTTGGAGTGTGATATTAATATTTCAATAAATCAAGGCATTTGAACAACCTTAACTTTAATTTGTAATATTACACATTATTACATGGCTAATTTTGTTGATTTTCTAATATTAAAACAAGTATTATTGTTCTTATTTATGTGATTTGTTTATCAAAGAAATGATAATTAACACAAAAGAGAAACCTATTAGCTCTTAGCCAGAACTAAATATACATTTATAGATTTACGTGGGTTAGTTTAGTTAATGATATATGAGCTCGCATTCAGATGGGGATTCACCCATTGATAGATTAAACTATTCACTTATCCAATTACTGTACAGAATTCATTAACCTTATCAACACGGTCTCTTGATTTACGTCATATTTAATAAGCTAATGAGTAAAATCTGAATTTTGTTTGTTTGCATGGAGAGTTCTCGCTCTATGAACAACTGTTGTGTATGTGTATGTGTGTGTGTGTGTGTGTGAACAAAACCTGTTTATTTTATCAGCTGCTCAGCATTTTAGTAAACATACATACTAATATACAAATATATTCAAATGCTCAAGCTAGTTTCATTTTTAGATCGTGCTATATATTCCGATTACATTGGGCAATGTGGCAGCAGTTGATGCTAAACAGTCGAAATGAAGCTCATTTACGCGGCTTGCGTATTGCTTGGCCTGGCCTTAAGTCACGCCAGTGCCAGCTGCTCGGCTGATTGTCCCGACACTGAGGATGTGGTGTGGGCAGTTGGTGGCGGTTGCAGTGTCTTCCGTAATAAGTGTTACTTCGACAGGGAGAACTGTCACAGGAAGCCGCGTAAGCAACTGAACTTGTCAATTCATCTCAGTGAATATTTCATTAAAATCATATTTAATTGACAGCACTGACCATTTCCACCAAGGAGGAGTGTCAAAAGCTCTGCCCTAGTGTCTGCCCACTAATTTATCAACCAATTGGGGGCACCTATAAGGGCCAATCAAGACACTTTGGCAATGCATGCGAAAAGATTGTGCACACCTGCCGAACCGGCGAAAGTACGTAATCTTTTATATAAACCAGAAGCCTAATTGATATCTGTTTTCTTTTTTCAGCTTTCTTGGACTAAAATGAAAACTTTTAATTAAGTGAACGAATAGAGCAAAATTTTCAATTATCTTTTAGTTATTTTTACATTTAGTACTCATATCATACAAATATAGGATAGGAAACGTTTGAGGATTTGAACATTTTGAATATGCTATAATTGAATTATTTAAAAAACCTTTCCTTATTTGGGTCACAGCTGTCAAAAGTAATTAGCTGCTCTGTCTTGACCTCAACGTATTTATGTGATTTTTGTTCATATCTTTAATTTGTTAATTAACTTTTGTGTATCATTAAAAAGATAATATTTTATATAGACCTTAAATTTGGTTTAATGTGATTGTGTTGATATATATGATTGTCAATCAGAGTCTTTTAAGACAAGCTTTTAAAACGAATTCCAAACACAGTTAGACAGGTTAGGCTTCTCTCAATGCATTTCTGCCCTGCGATTTACTTGTTAAGAAGACTTGTTAGCAAAGTCAAAATATTAAGTTTAGAGTAAATAAGAAATAGGCTCGATCAATATAATCAAAATTTAGTATAAACTTTAACTCAATTTTAAACTCCAATTAATTAATACTTTAACAATTATAGTATGTTGGAAAACAATAGGTTTCGGTGTCTGTGTTAAGCCCTTTCCCAGGAGCTTCATGAAATTTCGTCTATTTTCTAGATTCAATATTATCTAATTCATATTTTACGGAACTTGGCTCCATTAAAATCGTATATGAATGGGCAACATATTCTATAATAATTCTATTTCATCTACTATAATAATTCCATCATATTAAAAACTATAAAAGTATTAAAAAAGTAGCAGAAGTGCAAAAAAGCCAAATATTACTTTCCTAAATTGAAACCTGTTTTATAACTTAAAGACGCGCAAAACTTGTTTACTTTTTATTTACACAGTTATTTTTGTTATATATAACTTTAATGAATGTTCGAAAGAAAAAAAAAACAGTGGCAATTGCTGTCTAGATGGATTTTTACTATATACTATATACTATATACGAGCAATTCAACATGAGTTTGAAATTTGAATACTGATCAAAAGTGAGTGTTGTTTTCTTTTTTTTTTTTTTTTTTTTTTTTTTTTTTTTTGTAGACGGCATTGATCAAACAAATAATAAAGAAGTCTTAATTCTATGACCCTGAGTCAATTGTCCAGATATAGAGAATGTTTTGTTATGATTTTGTTTTTGCAATAGAAATTATAATGTTGAGCTTAACTCTGATCGAGATAACAGATTGAACATGTGTATCTAATTGAATATGGATATATAATATGAAATAGCTTGAGGTTAATGATTTCAGTAATCTAGGACCATGAGTCAGAGAACAAACATTTTGATTCATTTATTATACGACGAAATATAATATTACTAAATTATATTCACATGGAGTGAAGATGGTAGTGATATACTATAATAAAAGTCCAATTAAAGAGCAACTACGTTTTTCAATGAATAATAATTAAAAGCTGTCGATGAAGCGATAAAATTAATATCTATTGTGGTTGTATAAACAAACATATAGGTTCGTTACCTGTCGGCTTGCAAAAATCCCACGAAGTGACGTCAATGCATGCAAAGTCATATAAAAACGTGCCGATGCCGCTGAAATAGCCAAGTTACGAAGCAAACCGTCAATGAGAGAGATGTGGAATAGCAGCAAAAATCAATTGGCATTGGCAATCGCCTTGCTTTCACTTCTGGCCATACTGAAGGGAACGGAGGCTCGACACAGCCTGTTCGACTGTAATGTGAAGTACAAGTGCTCGGCGGAGAAAGATTACATCTGGGCAACCGACGAAGAGCGTTGTCATGTTATCCACAACAGGTGCCTGCTAGAGGTCGAGCAATGTGCGCGCCGTGATCAGGGCAAGGCGGAGTTGGTGGAGACGGATCGAGAGACTTGCAAAAAGACCTGTGAGAGGCCGTGCGAGAGAAACTTTGAGCCCGTCTGTGCTCAGTTCTTCCAGGAGGAGTACATAACCTTCAGCAATGAGTGCGAGATGCGCAACTATATATGCACCCACGAAAGGGGTGAGTATTAACTGTGAGTGTTTGAGAATAATAAGCAACTGATCTACAAACTTCTCAACAGCCTACTCGTTCTACGATCTTGGGAAATGTGTTAGGTTTCCCCCATCGCAAAATTAAGGAATGCAATTAATTGTTTTGTGGAGAACAATAATTGTAAACATTAAAATTTATTTTTGTATTCAATAAAAATATCCATACACAAAAGTCATTCAACTCATTTCACAAAGTCAGACAGAGCTCCAATTATTCGGGCCTTAAGCTTCACACACTTTGTATTTTTAGTTGTAATTTAAATTATAAAATATGAAGTTCAGAGATCAGACATCGCTTCAAACTGGAGCAAATCCAATGTCAGTAATTTATTTTGGGATCAGGTTATTAGATATATCAGATATATCAAGTATTTAACTTTGCCTTGTTCTTAATTTGATTGTGTAAGGACAGATTAAAATCTTAATTGAGTGCCTTAGCCAAATTTTGTTGGGAGTTTGGTGTTATAAATAAGCCGGACTTTCTCCTTAAAGACATCAGTTGTCCACAAGCAACACATACAGAACCTTCTGAAGTAACATCAACAATGGCTGCCATTTTCGTTATCCTGCTGAGCTGCCTCGCATACGGCATTGTAGCCAGTCCCTCGCAAATTGGAAGCTTGCCTGGCGGTCGCCCAGCTCAGCTTGTCCCGGCTCCTGTGGTTAGCAAACCATCGCCATCTTACTTGCCACCAGCTAAGCTGGGCAGACGTCCAAGTGCTGAGCCTGTTGTGTCCATACCCTCGAATCCAGCTCAACCAGCTCTCGGATCTGTTGTGTCCGCACCAGTTGCGCAGCGCCCGGTTTCTGGTCGAGTTCCTGTCAACGTGGTTGACATACGTAAATCATCTTACCGTCCGGTTGATCCTGCTTCATCTACCCAGAATCCATCTATTCAGAAGCCAGCTGTCCAGAAACCAGCTGTCCAGAGGCCATCTGTGCAGAAGCCATCTGTCCAGAAGCCAGCTGTCCAGAAACCATCTGTCCAGAAGCCAGCTGTCCAGAAGCCATCTGTGCAGAGGCCACCTGTGCAGAAGCCATCTCTCATCGGAGCTCCTCGCCCCATTGTCCAGCGTCCTGTTGCCCCTGCTGTGCCTGTGCAGCGGCCGGTCTCCTCTGGTTCTAAAAGCGGATCTCGCACTGTCGGCCCTAACGCTCCTTACTAAATACCAAGACCCCCACTCAAAATTGTGACCCTCAAAACTTGCGATGAAAACATTTATTACAACTTTTCCAAATACATTAAATTACTAAAACAAACACATAGCTAAAAAAAAAGAAGTATTTTAATCTTTAATCTTGAAGACAAAATGAAAATAAATAAATTGTTGTTTCGAAATACAGGTACATAAATAAAGCGTTTTGATATTCTGAAGTTATCAAACATTTTAGATTTCATTCAGGTATAAATTGCATAAGACGTTGCAGTAGGAAGAATAAAGTTTCCATACTGGTTGAAATATTACTACCAATACACGCAAATGCGCAGTCATCATATATATTGTAGATTGGAAGAGTCGCATAGTTAGGACCTTCTCAATACGTAGAATTTATATTCGAAGTCACAAATAAAGTTATGAACAATTTGGAAACAAGAATGAAGGTATATGTTGCTCGACTAGATAATACCCTTAACCCCGGCAGATTTGTCTCTTTATATATTCTCCTCAGTTTATATGTGTTTGTAGGGTGTAAAGAGGGAAGGGGAAAAATAAGTATTGTAAGAACTGATATATCTTCTAAAGAATCGGCATCTCTTGGGCAATACGCATAACCTTTTTATACACCGCCATTTCACTGATTAAAAATCTAGAAAGTCTTCATCCATTCAAACATAATTCAATATCTATGTCTATTCTTAGAAGTTTTGCAAACGTAAAATGCATATGCTGCTACGTGCCTTTGCTAATTGGTCAAAGGTCAAAGGTTTTTTTTATTAATATTTCAAAGTTACTTAATGGATTTTAATGCAATTTTTGTAATATTTTGAGCCTATATCCAATTCTCATAAAACTAGATGTAAAATCTATAGACTAGAGCAGATGTAAGGTCATAAGAGCTAATCTAATAGCTGAATTTAATTAATGCTTATGATCGGAAAGAGTAAAGCGGTTAATTTTTATAGTATAGCAACTGCTAGCCATAAGAGTGATAAAAGTTTTTATAAGAATTTATTTTCCATAATTAATTTATTATATGTATACATTATACGTAGCGTGGAATGATTGAAAGTTGAGTTAAGCCCTCCCGGCCATGCTTGTATATTTCAAACTTGTACAGATCAACATTGAATTACAATCTATACTTTTATTGCACTACAATCTAAACTCGTACCGCTAAGTTTAGAGATCAACCACCGCTAAAACTGGAGCAAATTACAGCTCTCCGATAACCGAATCAGGTTACTAGATTTATCAAGTACTTAACTTCGCGTTGTTCTTAACTGTTTTGTGTGTAGGGACAGATTGAAATCTTGATTGAGTGCCTTGGGTAAATTTTTATATGCATTTGGAATTATAAATAAGCCGAGGTTTCTCAAGAAAGGCATCAGTTGTCCCCAAGGAACACATACAGAACCTTCTAAAATATCAACAATGTCTGCCACTTTCGTAATCCTGCTGAGCTGCCTCGCATACGGTATCGTAGCTAGTCCTTCGCAAATTGGAAGCTCACCTGGCGGTCGTCCAACCGTACCAGCTCCTGTGGTTAACAAGCCATCAACATCTTACTTGCCACCAGCTAAGGGAGTGGTCGAACCCTCCGTTCCAGCTCCTGCAACTGTTAGGCCTGCACCAGTTACTGTTCGGGCTCCAACTAACGTGGGCGGCAAACGTCCATCTTCTTATCGTCCTGTTGTTCCTGCTCCATCTGTCCTGAAGCCATCTGTGCAGAAGCCGTCTCTCATCGTAGCTCCTCGCCCAATTGTTCAGCGTCCTGTTGCTGAACCAGCTGCACCTG